TCTATTTATCATAACTGTTCTTTGTTTTCTTTTTTTAGAATTCAAACTTTCTGTTGTTTATTTCCAGGTTTAAATGGAAAAAAAATCCCAATTTCATTGTGGTCTCAGACTTTTGGACCCCACTCTAGGTCATTCTGAATAGGCTTAAACTAGGACTAGAACATAGAGTAACAGTCAGTTATTCATTTCAAGAGTGCATATACAGTTATAAATGGGGAAATTAACACAGGCACGTTAAATCTTTAACAATCTTTAGAAATAAATTAATACTGGCCTGTTTGTATGCCAAGTCAAGACCACTAGAGACGAGTCCAAGTCAAGATTAAGACCTAAACTTATAGAGTCTAAGTCAAGACCAAGCCTTTGTAGCAGTCAAGTCCAAGTCAAGACTGAGACCATATATATATATATATATATATATATATATATATCACTACCTATCTTTAAGACTAATAGTGACATGCTTATATGTGAAGCATCAGCTACATTGATTTTCTGTCCTGCACTAGTAGTTTAGAAAACAATTTTACTTTTGTGGAAAGAGCCACAAACACCTTCTTTAAATGCATGGATGTTTTTTTAGCTGGAATGAGTGTCTTATTCTTTTAACCCAGAATGTAAATTACACTATGAAATGTGGAAAAAAGCTGTAAAAAACAATTACAGTACAAAATAATAGATATTTAAATACAAAAAACAACAGCAATGTAATGAGAATCTTCACTCACAGAGCATCAGAGAGAGCAGACTGAGCTCCATACTGCCCCAGTAATGACTGACTGAACAATGACCTAAACACTTCCTTTTTACTCATAGACCAAGCACATGAGAGAGAGAGAGAGAGAGAGAGAGAGAGAGAGAGTTCTTGTGTTCTGCCTTAATGTTTTTGTGTTTGGCCTGAATCCTACAAACCCAAGTCCTTCTGTAAAATACGAAGAAATTGATCTTTAAATCTACTTTGACCTGTTTTTGAATGAAAACAGTTCAAAGAGAAGATATAATGTTCTACTTTATCAACTTCATTGTTTTTTTTTAACATATGAAATTGATACCTGCAATACGTTCAAAGAAATGAGACAAGAACAAGACTAGGAACAGAAATACTTTGACAAACTGATTTTAATGAGCACCGTCTGTCGCTGCATCCACTAATGCAGGTTTAGACTGTACTGTGCACAGTGGAAGTCATTTCTCTACAACATCCCAAAGGCTGCAGAATTCTCTGGGCTTGAGCTCATCTGAAATGGACTGATGCACAGTGGAAACGTGTATTGTGGTCTGACAAGTCAAACCTCAAGATTATTCATGGAAATAATGAACATTGTTTTCTCTGGGTCAAAGGAAAAAAGGACTGTTTTTACCAGCGTGAAGTTCAAACATCAGCTTCTGTCATGGTGGGTGTGGGGGAGGTGGTATTAGTGGGTAACTGGCACAACTGTGAAAAAATGAAGTGTGAATGAGAGCAGAAAGGTGTTAAAACAGGTAACACCTGATGATACGAGTCTTCAGACCACAGAGGAAAGAACTGAGCGTGAGAACTGACTGCAGTGCAGAGTCCAGGGAAAAGTTCAATCCACCTCTCTGGAGCAAAGACACCAAAGCAGAGAGACCCAGCATTACGAGTCTGTTTAGATTTTAAGGATGGACATGACGAGCCTGAAAGATGAAGATCAGTATGATTATAAATATGTGAATAAAAGACTGTCTTGTCATAAACATGAATTTATAGCTTGTAAAAGATGCAATAAGTGTGACATAAAAACATCATTAGGTTTCAGTTCTTATTTGGTTGATGTTGTCATTACTGCAGTTTTACTAGAATAAAAGTCAGACCACAAACACATCTCTAACTCCTCTCTGTTCTCAGGCCTCTGAGACTGTGAGTTTGGCACAAACATTTTAACCATATACTATAACAGTCTAATTTCACAGTCTAATTTCACAGTGTGATTTGTTTTTTCATTTGATTAATATCTGTTCACATGATTAATTAATTATTCACAGGTGATTAATAACTGGAGTCTGTTTACTGATTCCATAAATATCTGTTCCTTGTTAAAGTCACTCAGGTTTTTTTTACATCTGCCAATTTCTCCCATATCCAAAGCATCAAGAGATGAGAACTGACTGATTGATAACCGTCTAACATGTCCAAGACCTTGACGTGATGTTCTTACGAGATAATCATTTGCCCCTCATGTTATAAGAAGATCAAACGATACACTACAGGCCAGGCTAGTAACATTAGCTGAGGCTAAAATAGATGATTCACACTTTAGATTCACTGAATTCTTGGTGTAAATTTCAAACCTCATATAATTGACTATGGCTTTTAGTGGTCTGGTTGGTGGTTTCTGTTAATGCAGTAATAGTGAGGTGATTAATAACTCCCATGGTGGTGTGACCACCTTCATTAAAAACAAAGGTCTTAGGTTTTACAATGCTATGTTGTCTGGTGTTTGATATTTACTAAATCTGCTGTAATCTGTCCACATCAGTTGGGAGGGAACTCAGTTATGACACTGATTTCATGGAATTTAAACAGGCTTATGGGGTCCATGACCATCAGTAGCCCCAGGGTCCACTAACAGGTTCCTCTGTGTACATTTCAAGCTATGTGTGATCTATTATGGGTTTTGTGGTCTGGTTCTGGGTTTAGTTTAATGCAGTGATGGTAAAATGCTGTGTGATGAGCTGGGCTTAGACAGAACATTTACAATGGAGAACAAAATGTAATTTTCTATTTTAAGATTTTAACCTTTTGTTTCTAAGCAAACTTAACAATGTAATAAGAGAAATTATTCTCATAGTTTGAGAGTTTAAATACAACAAGCATAACATTTTTCAGTTCCTAGAAATCATTAGGCCTCTTCTGAAGGTCTAGAAAGCCTGAAGTTCACCCTGGGTAAATTAGTACTTGATCAAAGCTAATATCTGTCTCTGAATAAAGAACAGGACATAAGAGGTATTGTGCTTAGAGAAAATATTTATTTGTGTTAATTCCAGACATCAGCAAAGATGAATAAAAATATAGTTTCTATTACACTGATTTATTTCTTAAGCTAATTAAAGAAAGCAAAGTAATATGTCATTTCATAAAACATAACATGATTATAAATGTAACTTCAACTGCATTATAAAAGATCAACAGGTTAGAATACATTAAGAATGAGGATATCAGAACAAATGACCACACTGCATTTTGTCAACCACCATCAGTTTATGAATATGGTTTAGTTTGGTTAGACATAAGGATATGATAAAATATATAAAATGAAAAAAATTAAAATACATTAAGCATCAAAACTCATGAGATCAAAAATATATTATCATACAAAAATCAAAATAACAATCTTACAAAACAAAACAACTGAGCTATAAGCGACTTAAAAAACAGAAGAGATGCAGCTGTACCACAAGTTCCTCACTAGAGACACTGACACAGAGTCAGTGTTAGAAAAGTACAGTAAAACAAAATGAGAAAAAGTGAGACTCTTTTCACTTCATCAGTATAAAACAGTAACAGAGCGTTTGTTATTGAAAGATATACAGATATTAAAGATAATTCTGACAGTCTAAATGTGTTCAGATCCTCTTCTGTCTGCACTCCTTAAAACCCCAAACAGGTGTTTCTGTAAATGGTTACTTTTCTGTACTGAAACAACAGCAGCAGTTTACTTCATAGACCTACAAGAGAAAAGCACTTTATGACTTTCATATTTTAGTATATTTGACAGATGGTAGGTAATTATTTATTAATCAAAGTTATTTTCAATAAAACAGTAACATAAACTCATGAAACTCATCATGACTATTGTCTAAATATGCTGATGAAGACAACATGGTCTGATAGTGTTCCTGGTGTTAATCAGAGACTTTGAAAAAGCGTGTATCTCCTGAAATACATCACCAGATTAGAGGTAGAAAGTAGGTCAAGTGTAGTATTCAAAATTTAGTTTCAAACAGGAAGACATGATAATATAACATATTTCATTTCTTTTTATCTTTTTTGAAAATGTTTTACTTTGGTGAAAATGAGTTAAGTAGTAACATTAAATTATTTTTTACAACTAATTTTTCACTCCTGCCTGTTTAAGGTGAATGTAAACAGTTTTCTGTTGTTAAAACAATCCACTACACTCACAATGGAGTTTAGTCGATGTATCTGAAAAATGAAGCATCAGTGTGTCAACCTGATGTGTGTAAAATTCTGTTAAACTTAGATATTGTTTCTTTACAGTTTAAATATTTCTGTACATCATGAGGGAAGAAGGAGGGCAGTTAAATCCTCCTCAGCACAAATCTGCAGAAATTTGTTTTGCATGAAAAAAATCACTTGTATTTTAAACACACTCAGCTTCCACCTTCACTTACTGACTCAGACAATACTGTCATCTGGAGATCAAGTCTAGGTTTTAATAAAGCTCTGAAATATTTTTAAGCTTCATGCAGTGTTTAAATTAAAGGGGAACCAGAGAGAGCTCAGATCCTCTGAAAGAGACTTACACTCACAGTAACTACACTGTTAGAAATAAAGGTTGTGTGCAGGAACATTTTCATTAATCAAGGTACAAACAATGTAAATGTTTCCTCAAAGGTACAACAGTAGTTTTAAGGTCTGATTGTGAACCTTAAATAAGTTTTTCCCAGTGGAAAAGTATGTATTTGTACCTTTTCATAAACTAATGTTTTAAAACAGAACAATAAAATAAAAAGCCTGGAGATGAGACGGAGTGTTTGGACTAAATACAACTTAGAAAATATAATTTAAATGGATTATGGTACAATTATGTTCCCTAACTAAAGGTACTGAGATGTACCCTTGAGGGTATGACCCCAGGGAGAAGAGGGGTAACTGCCCCAGTGACAGTTTACTACTTTTCTTTTTTCGAGACTACATAATAGAAGAAAATCAAACTCAAATTTCTTTTATTACCTTTAGACTTTATCATCTGTAAAGCACTTTGAGCTGCCACTTGTATGAAAAGTGCACTATAAATAAATGTATTACTATTATTATTGTTATTGCTATTATTATTATTATTATTATTATTGTTGTTGTTGTTGTTACAGGTTGTTTTAACTTCTTTTTATTAAAGAAATCAACAAAATGTGTAACTTGGCCAAGGGTTCTCAAACTTTTGTATCTAATGGTTGATGAACTGTGGGGGCTTCAGGCACCCACTTAATATCACTGATGATAATTTTACAACAATTAAAATTAGATGAAGGAAACTGTATATACGTTATACAATATGTGTAAAAGGGGTGTTTATATTATATATATTTTGCTATAATATAATGTAAATTTTTTACTGATGTAAAATTAAAACTCTTTCATCTTTTTCTTTTAAATAGCTTTTTTGTAACCTTTGCCCTTATAGGTCATATTTTTTGTATTAATGTGTGAGTAAAGCCCCTTGGTGAATGAGTAACATGGCTCCAAAACCATATGTTTTTTAAATGAACAAAAAAAATGTAGATATTAATTTATTTGTTCTGTAATTTTTTTTCGATGGTGCTGCATGGCAGAGGAACAGCTAATGCTTTGTGTTAACACAGTCAGTCTTATATGATCCTTTACAGAAAATAAATGTATATTAGGTCATTCATACCTTCTCTGTGGCGTTTAAAATTTTCCATCTTAATTTGGGAATAAGTCACATCATTTGGTCTCCTCACTGCTTCATCTGATACAGAAATAATTTAGATTATGTCAAAAATAATTAAAGGGAAAATATATCTCTGTTATTATAGAGATGCAGTTCTTACAGATTCCTTTGTAGTTGTTTGTAGTCTCAATCTGAGCGTAAGTTACATCACTGGGCTGAGCTGCAGAATCATCTGGAACAGAAGAAGTTACTCATCAGAGACGCCACTGTGTTCATCATCACATCATCAAAGATACCTCACTTAAAAAGTATCAACAAAGAAGAGATGAAATATAGCTATGTTCCTGTTATATATAAAATCAATAATCCATCAATGTGATCACTACTTATTACAGAGCAGATAAGATCTTTTAGTGAAACAGTGTAACTGTAACTCTATGTTGGTAATGCAAACTGATCAGCCTGCAGTGGTGGCTTTCCTGAGAGAGACCCCCCAGACCCTGACAGACTGGTTTTGATTGGTGTTCTGCTGATTTCCAGTAGAGGGAGACACAGCTCACAGAAATCTGTCTTTAGTCAGCTGCATAAATTGATACAGGACATACAAAATGTGTTTTCAAACCTTTGTTCTTCTTGTAACAGCAAATCAGGCCCAGTATGATAATGAGGAACAAGGTTAAACTCAGTCCCGCTGACACTCCAACTGCCACTCTTACTGTTACACCATCAGATCCAGAACCTGAAGCTGGAAAAAGAAACCCGCGAATTATTACAATTAGTGAACTGTAAAGTTCAGAATGAATCAAATAACATCAAACTGTGTTCTCACCTCTGACTGAGAGCCAGCTCTTTGGTGACTCTCCTTTCTCTGGGTGTTTACAGTGGTAGAGACCTTCATCTGACTTTGAGATAGTACGGATGATCATCTCTCCTGTAGTCTGGGTCTGGAGCAGTGATCCATCTTTATAGAAATCAGCTGTGAGGTTTGAGGGCTTTGTGGAGTGATATAAACAGCGGAGAGTCAGAGAATCTCTCTCAGACACAGGATGGACAGGACTGTCCAGAATCACATCACTATCTGTAGGAGAGATTAATGAGTGAAGTAACACCGTCTTACATTTACATTAGTAAAAAGAAATTACTAGAAATTGCACTTTAGAGTACAAGATCAGTTTTTTTAGTTAAAGGTTGGTAATTTACTAAGAATCAAAGGAAACTCTAAACTACTGTTTTGAAAAGAAACAATAAAAATAAACAACTCTGATGGGACACAATGTAACTAATTAGGTACTTAATCAAAGAATTCATTAATAAATACATTCATATAGACCCATCACTCTGGTAATGACAATACACAAGATTATTTATACAAGTTTTAATTATTTAGTGCCTTTCTTGGGCTGACAACTGCTTTAAAATGTAAACATAAAAAGCAGCTAACAGTTAAAATATAATACAGACACACGAAAGGTAAAACATTTTAAAAATACAATAAAAACAGTTTGAGAGCTGTGGCAATGAATGATGTATAATGCACAAATAAAAATGCTCCTAAATCACTTCAGTTACTGCATATTAAAGTAGTAATGAGCAGCCAGTTCATAATCAGCTATAGGTTTGTTAAGATGTAAAAAGAGCTTTATAACATCCTCCTATACTGAAGTGTTAATCTAGTATGGAAGTATTTACAGTTTTAACAATTAATTCATTAAATAGCTTTTTAAATAATTCTGTATTGGATGCCTATTTTTGCTAAGAGTAATGGAGACTCACTGTGCACTGTGATGTTGAGAGGATCACTTCCTCCTCCAGATTCAGACTGACACCAGTAAACTCCAGTGAGGGATGTGTAGAGGGAGCTGATTTTGCATGTAGATCCTGTAACTGATGAACAATCTGACACCTCCCCACTGTGTGTGTATCGTCTCACTCTCCATCCAGTAGAGTCACTCAGTCCCTCACAGCTCAGTGAGAGAGAGCCAGCACTAAAGTGTTGAGTTCTGCTGGGACTGATGATCAGAGAGGCTGGAGGAGATGAACCTGAACATGCACACAAGATACACATGTAGCATGTTGATAAATAGTAATGCTAAACAAATATACTGTTCACTAAAAGAATGGTTTTGATGAATACAACATATATATATAAACAAAATGATTAATTTCTGTATTTCCTCACCAGTGATCCATAGTGTCTGTGCAGTGCTGTACTGTGTCTGATAGGCTGGTTCTCCTCTCTCTGCTCTGCACACATAAACTCCTGTGTGATTTAGAGCAGCAGGACTGAGAGTGAAGGAGCCTCCAGCTTCTCTTCTGCTGTCTGACAGGAGCTCTACATGATACAGAACATTGCCATGAATGTCTCTTATTTGTTGTAAGCCTTGTCTGTAGAGAACAGCTCTGTACCAGCTGAATGTCCAGCCTGTAGAGGAGCCTGTAACCTCACAGCTTAGAGTCACTGAGTCTCCTTCAGTCAGCCAGCTCTGTGGAGACACACTCAATACTGCCTGAGCTACATCTGACAGAGAGAACATGGAGATTATAATAGACTAAATCAAGTTTATACACAGTGATAAGATTATTACATACAGTATAATTAATGAGAATATTAAAACAAATCCACAGACTCACCAGACACAGTCAGTGTAACAGCATCACTGATCTCTGAGCTCTGAGAGTCATGTTTTCTTTCTCCTCTGCAGGTGTATTTACCACCGTTAGACTCTGTAACAGAGCTGATTGTGAACTCCTGTGTTCTTCTGTTTGGGGACAAATGGTCATCTTTATACCAGCTGTAAGTCCACTCAGTGTCTCCTCCTGCCTGTGTGTCACATCGCAGAGTGACAGCCTCTCCTTTAAACACCTGTTTATCAGGCTTTATGGACACCACAGCTTTAGTGCTGTCTGTAAGGAAATCACAGTTCCCAACACCATTAATAAAATGAGAGCTGAGGTTTTGAGATTAAATGATGAATTTTGCTCATTATTTAATACACAGTACTGCGCAGTGAAGTTTGCACAGACAAGTTTGATCTGTGTCTGTTCTAAGTGGATGGATAAAGTGTTTTAGTCATACTAACTCTGTGCCTAATACAAACTACAAAGAGACAGATCTGCTGTGTGCCACTTTGACCAAATAACCATTTTCAATACATTTTTTGGCTGTTGCTACTATTAAAGTTCATCATGAACAGACATTGTGGGGCCATTAAAAATCCTCCAGACTCCACACAGAAAGGACCCTGGTCGCCCAACCAGGGCAGGGAAAAAAATTTAACCAATAATATCATGTTTCACTTTCCCCTCCCCCCTCACATCTATCACTGGGTGAAACTCAGCTAGCTCAGAGATCCTCCTTGATCCTTTTTTCACTTGGAAATACATCATACATTAGGAAAATCCACTATGTTTTAGGGTGTGGCTCACATCCTGATGTGATTATTAGTGCAGTTTGATAGAAAACTAGTGAGAACACTGCCATTCAAACCCTGGTGCAGGTCCTCTGAGGAGGTCTGTTTCAGTTCACTTCTAAACAAACCATAAAGCAGTGTTTAAAATACGAATGCAAAACAGACCAAATACCAAACAAACCATCACCTCTTCTCTACTTTCACTGGTACATGCAACAGATGACTTTCTGATGCTATTTTGATACATGGACTTATTTTATCATCACATGATCAGTTGGCTGGACCTTCACTGTAGCTGTTGGTCTCTCTGTTCAAAGATGACAAAAAATTGTGAAATGTTTAAGCATCATTCTGCTGAACTGATAGAGCTGAAAACCCATTTCGGACCTGGACTTTAGACTAAAATCCTTTTGCTTTTAGTGAAACTATAAAAAAATGCTAGCCAGTACATGACTGTCGAACACAGCTTTGAGTAGCTGTACACACACAAAATCATAATATTTTTCATTAAAAGTCTAAAAAGTTAACTTAATTGCAGAAAAGATGTGTTTCAGTACTGACAATTCCTAATGTTACACACTGATTTTCAGACTCTGGAACACATTTACTTCAAAACAATGAGATCTAACTGCTCTCTCTGTGGTCATGAGGGACAGAGATGCAGCCTCACTTCCTGCTCTAAAATGTAGGTTTGTGGCTAAAATAAGGCTCCGCCTGTGGACTAAAAGTCTCTGTTTCTGTAGGGACCTGAAAACTTGGGACAGCATTTTTATTAATAAAGTTGTTGTCACTTTAAAAGAAATCAAAAGTATCTTTTAAATTAAAGAAAGAAAACTTAAAAAAAAAGTATTATTTTCACACATGTAATTTAGGGGTTAGTGTTTGGCTAAGACTGTAAGAATTCGTCAAAAACCAGACGCTCACGGATTAAAAGGACAAAAGGTGTTTTAATAGGGCTAGGCAGATGCAAGGTCAGTAGGCAGGCGTGGGTCAAATCCAAAAGACAAACCATAAACAAGGTGGTGATCGTATCACAGAGCAGACAAAGTCCAAAAAGGGGCAAGGGAAAAACGAAGACAAAAAACAGGCAAAGGTCCAAAAACACTGATCAGCAAAGACAGGCAACAATACAAAAGGGCAAAGGCAAAAGGCAAAGTCAAAGAATGAAATAATGGTCAAACAACGTACAGCAAATAACACTTGGGAAAACCACTCAGTATGTTCGTGGAGAAGCAATACCTCGCAAAGAACTAAACTAAAGCCCGGGCAAGTAGTCCTCAGGTACTCAGGTGAGTACTCAGGTGAGCGCGACCTCTGATAGGAGTGCATAATCTCCTCAGAGGTCATGTGATTCCCCATAGTATTGTGGGTAGCAGTCTGTTGAGTTTTCCGAGTCGGAGGGAAGTTGCGTTGTCACGTGATCCTCCTGAGGGTTCTGGGAACTGAAGTCCAAGTTTTCTTGTGACACAGGTCGATGTGTGACACAGACACCTCTTAATAGAAAATATCATATAAATGATTTTATATATATTTAGCTCATTACTATTTGATTTGATTCGAATTCTGATTTGAATTAAATAGATCATAACATAAACATTGTAGGACTGGCGACCTGTCCAGGGTGTATCCTGCCTTCCGCCCAATGACAGCTGGGATAGGCTCCAGCACCCCACCGCGACCCAGAAGGATAAGCGGTTTAGATGATGGATGGATGGATGGATAATCATTGTAAATATCTAAGGTCGAAATACTTAATTTTATGCACTGTTAGACTGCAATTTGAACTAATTTGGTAGAACAGTCCATTTAAACTCTGAAGATTTATAATCTTTAAATTATAATCTTTAAAGATTTTAATTATTTTAAAACATCATTATATTATGGAACCATTTTATATGTATATTTTTCCATTATCATTCTAAAATCACATCATTTGTCTGAAATGAAACAGAAAATGTGACATACCTACTACTATAATCCTGACAGGATCACTGTATTGTGTAGTATAGTCTCCCCTGTGCACTGCACACCTGTACACTCCTCCTTCTTTAAGCAGAGTTACGTTTAGTGTTTTTAATTCATGTTGTAAATGCTGAGAGTTTTTCATCCATGAAAACTTCTCTCCAGTAGACTGCAGCATCTCACAGCTCAGAGTAACTGTGTCTGGGCTCTGAGGCTCCACCTTCACAGTTGGTTTGAGTTGTGCTGTTGATATAAAATGATGAGGTCAGCAGAGCTGCTTTACTCTTTATAATATAAGAAGTAGTTTATCATCCTAATCACATGATTTGAGACTAATGAGTTTAATGTTTCTGTGTTCTATGAATGTGTTTGTTCAGTCAGGCTGCACTTTAACTTCTGACTGTCTCTTCTTTAAGAACCCTTTATCATCTATTTATGCATTGGCAACATTAGCTTGAATTACAATTTGCACGTTTTAAATATTAATGTGTCTGATCACTTGTGATTTTACTTATTTGGAACACTCGTCTACACGTCCATAACCAGGACTGACATTTATTGAGGTTCATATTGCAGAAATATGATCTACTTCACACACTGAGTAAACCACACTGCCAGATATGTGCAGAACAGAAGTGCTGTTTTCTAAACTCCTTTATGTTTATTACTGCTTTATGTACCTATTTCATCTGTTCCTTTCCTTCCATTCTTTCATAAACTGCTTTGATTCCAGTTTGACTGTTTATTTTATTTAGTTAATTATTGAACTATTTATTTAAGCATTTATTTTCATCTTTGGTTTCATTTAGATAATTTTATTTATTATTATTCATAACAATAAATAGAACTGCTTAACCACCAAATATTTAAAATCAGTCAGTTGGCTGTTAAACTGAAATGACTGATGTTGACTCCAAGTGATAATCAACAGTCTAAATCCTGATCTGCCCAAGTTAAACCTTAATTAAACAAAAATATTTTATTGGTTAAAATTAGTTAATTAGAATTGCAAAATATAATATAGTTTGACTAGTTAAATTATATGAAATATTAGTTTAATGATCCCGCAGGGGGGATAAGGGGCAGATTTGGTTTATATTCTGTTGGTTTTAGGTGGTGATTCTGAATAAGTTTTAGAGAAGAAGAACAGAGAATCTCACCATCATTTACTTCCAAATGTTACAATGAAAAGTTGGACAAAACTATAATATAATTACAATATGTAATATTTTTAGGCTATATATTATTTAATGTTCTATTTGACAAAATATCTTATAAAATATAATATCAATTATTAATATATATCATGTGTAATTAATAATAATTAATGTAAATAAAATCAAGTACGCATTGACTTCAGTTTCTGTCGTCTTTTATTCTTTGTAATTTTTATTCTAAAAAAAAACTTTAATCTGGTCTCAGTCTTGGCTTCATCTCGACTACTACAAAGTCTTGATCTTGACTCAGACTCACCTCTAATAATCTTGAATATAACACTAGTGTGTTATTTGAGATGGAGCCAAAACATTTTTATCCTCTGATTCTGGTTCAAACTGTGTCATTAATTTGAAATAATGACTTATTTTCTCAACAATTTGATTTAGTATGTCTAATAATGACTAATAACTAAAGAACAATTATTACTCATTGAGAAAATATGTGATTATTTTGAAATAATAAATCATTATTTTGAGAAAACATTTTGACACAATAAATAAAAAATGAGACAGTAATTATTTTAACTTCCTGTTTGGAAACACAAGTTTGCTTTCAGCTGATGGGATGAGCTGAACTTGAGTATCGTGCCGAGATCATTTAGAATTCCTACTCGATTTGGAACTGTATGATTTTGCCTTGTGATCATGAAACAAGTAGCTTTAGTAATGCGGTGCAGAGAAGTTAAGTAAGTCATACTGTGTTGTAAACTACATCAATTTGTCTGCACAAAACAAATGAAGATCTGGATACATTTTGAGCAGGTTGAGACGTGTTTTTGGGTGTGTATTTATTGAGATGAGATTGGTGACAGTCTAAGTTCAGTGTTTGTTAGCAACGTTAGCCTAGCATCTCCCTTTGTAAAATAAAGAAGCAAACTTTAGGTACCAAACATGTCTTGGCTATCGCCTGCATCTGGAGTAAGTGATGAATCATGTTAATATGATTGATCGCCAAACTGTTCATTTAAGACAAAATATACCTATAGAATTAGGAAATGTCTAATATCTGTTTTACTGAAAGGTTTTTAATAATATAACATTTCAAGTGTCCACAAAATTTTCACATTTGATTTCTTCAATGAAAAAAATAATTTTTCATTTAAGAAAATAAATAAATGTTTGTGATAAAATCTCTTTTCTCTGTCTCTCAGTAACGACAACGGCAGACGCGCCAAAAATAATTAGCTTTAACCAGCGCACACTCAGTATTTACTATCAGCCTTAGTGAATCTGAATTAGTACTTCATAATAATAATTATCTCCTCCCAGTATTTTGTGCTTTCTGATGAAAACTCCTTTAATTGCATGTGAAATAAGGGAAAAGTGCAAAACAGCAATGACTGTCCTTTTCATCTTATTATAGGCGCTAAATTGCCTTTTTCGTAAATCACAACACCAAAATAAGGTTGGTGATGGTACCAAATTTTCAAAATTCTTCCCCTAAGATGATTTCTCTGGTATTCCTGCACATTAGCTATATTTCATCAGTAGAATGCATTACTGAAATTACTACACTGTCTGCTCATTGTGCTTTGATAACTCAAGGTGTCATTGTGCTTTGATTACTCTGTGTCAGGTTTTAATGTTTTAGTCTTAATGAGTCTGAGCTGATTTTATTTAGCTTATGTTTCACTGTAAAAAATGGCTCATCAGCTCAAACTAAAAAATACTTCATGTGGTGACAAACAACTGAACTAGATTTATTCAACTCAAAAATGCATTAATTGAAAGAATCATTCATTCAATGTATTTATTTAGGTTGAATAAAACTAGTTAATTTATTTGTTACCACATGAAGTCATTTTTTAGGTTGATCTGATGAGCCATTTTTACAGTGTAGTTAACTTGCCATAGTGTTTGGTGGGTGCAGCAAATCAAGGAAGCATTTCAAAGAAGGCTAAACTCTGCCAACACATCACAGAGCTGTTTGTACATCATATTTGAAGTTACATGAGAAAAAACAAACCTTCAGAAACTACCAAGGTCCAGACCTCAGTGTTCTCATAGCTAACTGTGGTATTACTTGTGTATTAAATGTGAAGAATAAGATGTGTATGCAGGTGTTCATGAGAGCTAATTAACTAATCCAGTAGATGTTCATATAACGATTCACCTTGAGTTTGTCCACAATGGATGAGCACAATCAGCCCTAAAGTAGGAGAGAAACAGAGAACATGATGCATTATTGTGAAGTATTAGATTATTTTACAAGAATAATAAATAATGAACAGTTAAAATCACAAGCCTGTTTATCAGAAGAGCAAGTCAACTAAACTATCATATCTGACCTTAAACCAGTCTGGGCAAGAGCTGGCGCTCAACCTAACGCTGGGCAAAATGTAACAATTTCAAACCTGGTTAAACAGACTCTGCAGTTTGCTGAAAGCACATGATTCAGCCTTCAAATCTGGCAACAGTGAAGAACTTAAAGCTGCAAAACACAAGTACAACACACAAATTGTAGGCTATTTCAACGCCAGCTCAGATCCCTGAGACATATGGCAAAGAATCCAAGCAATCACTGACTATAAAAGCAAAGTCAGTAACTCAGCAACTACAGACGCCTCCCTCCCTGCTGAACTGAAGACTTTCTATACCTGTTCTATCACTGCTCAGGCTCAGCTAACTACCACTGCCCTGCCCCCCTCCACAGAGGAGCCAGCACTCATACTAGCTATAGATAAGGTGAGAAGAGCAATGAAGTGCTTCAAGAGACTGATCTTAGCTCATATAAAGAGCAGTCTTACTAGTAGTCACACATTGTGCAACTGGATTATGGACTTCCTTACCTGCAGACCACAGTCGACAACATAAATACTCCTCCCTCACATTCAGCACAGGACACCCGCAATGCTGCACCCTTTAACCCATGCTCTACGCCCAACCTCACCTCCACTTCCTCTGAAGGCTAAGAGAGTCAACTTGCCACAACAGCTCCTCTGCAACGTCTACAGGTCCACTGTGAAGCGCATCCTGACAAGCTGCATCACAGTCTGGTATGGCAGCATCACTGCTGTTGGGCATAAGGCACTGCAGAAGGTGGTGAAAACTGCCCAGCACATCACTGCAGCTACCCTCCTGTATGGGTGCATACAGGACATCTACAACAAGAGATGTCTGAGGAAAGCCAGCAACATCTCCACTGAGCCCACACACCCCAGCCACTCCCTGTTTCCACCT